ATAAATTGAGCCAAAGCAATTGAGAAAAACTGTAAATGACAATGGGATCAGAACATGCTTTTAAAATGAACAAAAAATGCTTTTGTTTTTTAGATGACTCGTAGACCACAGCAGTGATGACAGTGGTAAATTATATAGATAGATAGATAGATTATTATTTATTATATTATATCTGAATATTATATATAATTATAAATGATATATTTCTAATATAATTAATTAATTATATGTTTATGTAAATTATGCATTATATATTTATGTAAAATAAAGAGAAAGGGCTAGACAGACAGACAGACAGACAGATAGATAGATAGATAGATAGATAGATAGATAGATAGATAGATATCTTTAAACATTTAAATACATTTCAGAGTTATTTAAACCCATTTAGGCTTTCTAACAGTTACAATATAAAAGTCAGTTATTTAATTTTGGAAATAACATGTTAAAGTATCACACTCAGTATAATTGTGGTTTTCATAAATTAAAATATGACTTTACAATTTATGAAGCACAAAAGATCCCCTCAGATAGATAGATAGATAGATAGATATCTTTAATAAACATGAAAATATTCAGAGTGAAGAGAAAAGACAGTCTTACACTTTCAAACAGACTCACACGCACCATTTGTCCTGATGTGGAATAAACACAAAGGCCCCGTGCCGCTCTCGACAGGGGGCAGGGGCCCATTGACTTGCTTTGAGCCCGTTTTGTTTTAAGTGTAGGTGCTAAACACCTTCCTCCTGAGATAAAAGATGATTAATACCTTTGAATGAGGGCCGCTTAGTGGCTCAAAGTCCCTTAAGTACTTAATTAGTGAAAGGATGGGTCTGACAGCACACGCGAGCTCGAGGTGTGGAGGAGATGCTCTTTGATCTGCTGGCCTCCTAACAGCAGGCTTTAGAGTCATGGAAATGTGATTAGTTCTCTCCCATTCACCTCACACGCTCAGCAGCAGTTAACCCGATGCAGGTATAAATATCCCTGAGGAGCAGGACTGAAGACACAGACCTGACGTGGTGTGTGTGTGTGTGAGGAACATTACTATGGATTTACTGCCGCTGCTGGTGTTTCTTCTGCTCTGCGCCATCCATCAGACCTGTGAGTGTTTTTAGGTTTTTATTACATGTATTATTATACAAGATCCTCCTAATTCAATGGAGCATGTGACTACAATATAATCTGTTTGTGAATGAAATATCTGTGAATGTAGTCTGTCATGTGATTGATACAATATGATGCTTTTGAAATACAAATACAGTTAAAATGACACTTTTGGAGATCAGATACTGCATGTATGGTATGGAAAGACCAGGTTTTTGGACATTTGTAGTGCCTTTTTAGATATAAATATAAAAATAATTCACCATCATGGTATGTTTCTTGTACCATGGTATAACAACACGGTACCATCACACTACCATGGTACTGCCTAAGTAATTTATGACAGATAAGGTACCATGTTTTTTATGTACTGCATTTTCATTTTTAATTTAATTTTTGTATAGTTTTTTTAGTATTTTGAATTAGTTTTTATTTTTATAGTTTTCATTTTAATTTGACTTAAAGTGTTAGTAATTTTGCTGTTTTGAATATGTCTATGTAGTTTTTATTCATTTTTATTTCAGTTTTATTTATTTTAGGACTACAGCTTAAACTAAATGAAAATGATATTTTGAAATCGTCTTTATATTTTCCATTTTCATTTTATTTTACTTAAAGGTGTAGTAATTTTGTCATTTTTATTATGTTTTGTGTATATGGATTTTTATTAATTTTATTAATTTCAGTTTTAGTTATTGCTTATATTTTGCCTTGAATGCATATTATTTTATTATTGCTTATAGCTTGCTTATAGTTATATGTTGCCTTGATAACTAGCAGAAATAAAATAAGTATAAAACAATAATATATTTATATATATAAGTTTTTAATTTTTTTTTTTTATTTCAGTTAACTTTAAACTTTACATTTTTTTGGTTTTAATTTTAGTTAATTATAACTTTGGTCACATGCGGTCTTGATATTGACTAGAATAATTTCATTCTTTGCAAATGATTGCTTTCTCTCAGTATCTATCAGTTACCACGAGAATATTTAACTAATATGACTCATTTGTGTATTTGTGTCATTTAGTCACAGCCGTTTTAGGTAAAAACACAGAATCCAGAAACCTGTTCACAGAGAGAGCCTGCTGCAGACGCCAAAGTCACATCATCTACATTGGCAAAGGTTCCATTTAGTCATTTGACTTAAATAAAAATAGAAACACTTTAAATGCTGAATGAAATGCAATAGAAATAGTCTTTATGATTATGTTGACAAATCCTGATGTTTGAGTAGTTGATTTTATGACTGTATCTGTCTCTTAATTTCTTACCTTTTATTTATTTATTTATTTATTGTAACAGATATTTCTGGCAGTCCTGTGAATGTTGATGTGGGCGTGTGCAGAGCGCATTGTGACCAATCAGTGCGTTCTGCATCACTGGAGGCGGGGCTAAGAGCCTCCAAATATTCCTCAATGCTTGAATTCCTGAGACACAAAAAGGTAAAGCAATTCTACAACTGACCACAAGACGGCGACATTTCTCAAAATGAAAACAAGCATGAAACGTATTATTGTTTTAGATTCAAATAAATAAAAATTAAATAAATATACACATTCACATCCATTCTTTTAATGTTTTTTTGAGTGTAGAGAGAAAGTGACTACTTTTTAAGAGTGAAGTGATTTAACATTAATAAATTATTATTTAATTAAATAAATAATATTAATAATAATGTTATAAATTAGTTGTCAATACATAAAATGCATATCATATATTTATATAAATCATATATTTATAATTATATATATTTTAAAATATTAATATTTTAAATTTTTATTCTAAGTTTTATTATTTTTTTAAGTCAAATCAGTATTTTTATTTTACTTTAAGTATATTCAATAAAGGGTTTTTCATACATCTTAATTTTTGTCCATAACCATTATAGATGAGGCGTCTGGATCAGTCCTCAGGAGCTGCAGACTCCATCAGCGGTTCCCCGTCCTGCGGACTGAGCTCCACCTGCGAGCCGGCTGGGATGCGTGTGGACCGCGTGATGCTGTATGAAGGTCTGCGGGAGGTCGAGATCATCGAGGACTGTCACTGCGAAGCCAAAATGAGCCGGTGTGTCCGAGCGCCATCACTGAAAACATACTACTCTGAGACTCCGTACGAGACCGTCATAGAGGCGGGCAAATGTGTCGGATCGAAAGGGGCACCAGGTAAGAAAAAACTAAGTAAAAGTCCCTCTATAATCAGTGTGCTATAGAGTATACCCCTAATAGTCAATCCTATTGGTCGCAGGAAAGAAAAGTAGTGGCTTAAAGGAACTATTTTAGAAAATAGGCTCATTTTCCAATTCCCCTAGAGTTAAACAGTTGAGTTTTACCGTTTTTGAATCCATTCAGCCGATCTCCGGGTCTGGCGGTAGCACTTTTAGCTGTAGCTTAGCATAGATCATTGAATCTGATTAGACCGTTAGCATCTCGCTCAAAAATGACCAAAGAGTTTCGACCGACGGAAAATGAAAATTTGTGATTTTCTAGGCTGATATGGCTAGGAACTATACTCTCATTCCGGCGTAATAATCAAGGAACTTTGCTGCCGTACCATGGGTGCAGCAGGCGCAATGATATTACGCAGTGCCTGAAAATAGTCCCCAGCACACTCCCTGTGCAAGCAGGTGGTCAAGTTGGTTATGTTGACGGAAGTTAACCTATTTTCAGGCATTGCGTAATATCATTGCGCCTGCTGCACCCATGGTACGGCAGCAAAGTTCCTTGATTATTACGCCGGAATGAGAGTATATCAGACTAGAAAATCGCAACTTTTCATTTTCCGTCGGTCTTAGTATACGATGTAACTACAGAAGAGTCAAGTTTTAAATAGGAAAAATATCGAAACTCTTTGGTCATTTTTGAGCGAGATGCTAACGGTCTAATCAGATTCAATGATCTATGCTAAGCTACAGCTAAAAGTGCTACCGCCAGACCCGGAGATCGGCTGAATGGATTCAAAAACGGTAAAACTCGACTGTTTAACTCTAGGGGAGTTGGAAAATGAGCCTATTTTCAAAAATAGTGGAGTTTTCCTTTAAGTAGCAAATAACTGATGTGCCCCTAAATTTGTGCACTAATAAATGCATCTAATAAATCTTCTAATGATAATACTAATCATCTGTTTTACCTACAGAGGGATTTTCATGCGTGCCGACTACGTTTGATTCCACCCTCATTGAAACTCCAAACAAAGTGGAGTTGATCCAAACAGTGGCCCAGTGCAAACTAATGGAGGGATGTTACAGAATCCCGTATGTAGAGTACCACTACGAGATCACATACAATGATGACGGAGTCAAAGTAGAAAGTCTGAGGGTGAGCAAACCAGCAAACAATTGCAATTGCATGAATTGACTTTCAACTGTGGGTAAACCAAAATAAACTTTTTTTGGCACAATTTCCAGGGTTTTCAACCAATTTCTAATAGTGGGTTATTTATTTTAACACTTTATTCTAAACAATATATTTCATCTCTGTCTGATTTGGTTGCTTCAGCCATCAAATGTAAATCTCTCTCACTGGTTGAATCTAAAAACTAGCATAATGGAATAATGGTTGTTGATGTTATCCATGAAAGTAGCCTTTCAGACATTAGATATAAATGAAATTTATGATATAATTATATATTACAGTGGTCAGCGGGTTAGTTAAATTGGAGGTTTGGAAAGGTAAATAAGAGCCTCTGACAGGCCAAACCAATAGCTAGTCTTTACTGAAATGAAATTAAATCATCTGATGCTGAAGCAAAAGATCTCACACCAGGAAATACTGCTAGTCAGAAAGGAAATTAGTCATTTCCATGTGATCTGTGCTTGTTTTCTCTATTTGATAGACTTAAAGATCAGGATCCTGGTCCATTTCCCCACTCCAAACATTTCCAGTTCACATTTCCATGGCTGGACAGCACTGAACTGACGTGTGAATATGCATGGAGATGTTGCACACTAAACAACTACTTAGTGCGTGAAAAACCCTTAGCACAGCTTACAAATAGATTGCATGCATGCATACAGTGCATGTCCTAAATTGTCCTGATTGCAACATTATTTCTGAGGCAAGATGACATGAAAAGTGACGAAATGTCCCAAATATTTAAAATGCAGAGTCAAAAATGAATTCTTTATATTTTATGTTATATATTTATGTGATATTTTTCATTATATTCGATTCTAGGCCTAAAGTATTTGACATGGATGTTTTTGTGGTGTTCTATTTTTTATACTTTTACCCCAAAAAGAAGGTAAAAATGCCACTGAAAATCAGTTCCAAATTCATATTAAGTATTAATTCATTCTTAAAACAGATCCTAAGCCATTTAATCATGTAAAATCCTCACATTTTGAAGTTTAACGCCGATCTCTTGTGCTTATTGAACACATCCGTGTCAGATGTTCTCTGTCTGTCGCCGCACTCTCAAAAGGTGCGAGGAGGCCACAAATGGTCCCTGCAGGTGCCAAATCAAAGCACTTAGCATGTTAAGAGGCCGTGCCGCATTAACAGCAGGTGGTGAACTGATGGCTCTCTCTCTTGTGTTGCTAATGTTCTTACAGGAAATAGATGTTGGCAGATGTTTGGGAAGCTGCACCTCAGGGAGCCGCTGTCTTCTCAGGTACACGCCACACATCTGACTTTACACACAGCTAAGCAAACACACGATCACACACACACACACCCTTTACAGTGCGCACCAAAATACAACCCTGTTTGCTTTGACACTTCGGTCAGTCTTTAATCCAAAGCAGAAATACAACAGTTTCTTATTAGTTCATTATATATGTTATTTCCATTGTTTTCTAGGACAATTTTTTTTATTTAAATTTCATTTTTTTCTCTCTCTCTCTTGCTCACCAAGCCTGCATTCATTTGATGAAAGGTACAGTAACAAAAAAAAATTTAATTGTTTTTTCTACGTGAATATATCGTAAAATGTAATTTATTCCTGTGAGCCAAAGCCGAATTTTCAGCATCATTACTTGCTGCTAAGTTAATATTGGTGCTCAATTATTAATAATGGTTCTCATTAGTATCAATGTGTTGTTGCTTAATATGTTTCTGGGAACTGTGAATAGAAAATTAAATAGAAGTCTTTTTCAGCATTATAAATGTCTTTACTGTCACTTTTCTTCAATTTAATTTGTTCTTGCTGAACAAAAGCTGAACAATTTTTTTTTATTTTTTTAAATCTTACTTATTTGTGTTTAATAACGGTTTCCACAAAGATATGAAGCAGCGCAACTGTTTCTTATATATCAGCATATTAGAATGATTTCTGAAGATCATGTAACACTGAAGACTGGAGTAATGATGCTGAAAATTCAGCTGCGCATCACAGAAATAAATTGCAGTTACAAACAGTTATTAACAGTTATTAAACAGTTATTTTAAATCATAATCATTTGTCAAATTATTACAGTTTTCACTGTATTTTTGTTGATTAAATAAAAGCAGGTTAGGTGAGTATCTTAATTATTTCTATAACTTTTGACCGGTAGTGTATGTAAATGTATAAATGTAAATAGGATTTATATAGCAGTCAACATTTGAAGTGGATCAAAACCTTTCATCAAAGTTGTTCTAAAACCAAAACAATACCCTTAGGACAAATTTGATGAACTTTTTTGATCCGCTTCAAATGTTGACTACTGTATTTAGCTCGTAGATTTTTATGTTGAAGTTGTTTCTGTCCTAAATAAAAGTTTAACTCAAACTCACTGTATGGGGGTTCTATTTACATTAACAACTGTAAGCAGCTTTTGTACATGTTAATGAATAAATGTAAAAATAGGCAGACAGACAAAAGATTCATGGCTTAGTGAGAAATAAGGCTGTGACTCATAATGTGTGATATTGTTAAATACTTGGATGGACAGTCAGCATACTGGTACATTTTGACAACAAAAGAGAAAGTTTTAAGTTTCAGATCTAGTTAATACATCTGTTTTTTATTAGTAAGATATCAAAAACTGTAAACTGTTTGTATTTGGCTAAATATTATATAACTCTCTCTCTCTATATATATATATTATATATATAATTTAACATAATTAAAAAAAAAAATTATAATTGATTTGCTCATTTTAGGGTTGAAACTTTTTTTTTTTACAGTTGAAAAGTTATTTAGTGCACCTTTAAACCTTTGCAATTGATGATTTGAGTGCATTTTATTGGATGTTGACTAAGGCACTTGTGTGTTTCTGCAGGAGCGCGTCTGACCTCGGTGAATGTCTGCTGTGGGCTGAAGGGCAGGGCAACGCTTGTGTTCCTCAAGACTACGAAAGCCACACTTTCCTCAGTCAACACGGCCAAATCCGCACCGTTCTGGCCATTACTTCCTGTCTATGCCAGTCTTAAACACAGCGTCCTCTACTGGATGACTTAAGCAACTTCTTGAAGTTCCCCTCGGATCATTTGCAGGGCTGTAATGTCAGGTTTGGGGATGTGCATTAATGGACAGAAGTGTAAAGGCATGATGCAATGATGCTGTTATGTAATATATGTAAATTATGTAAAAAGTATTTTGTAAATAAAATCTATGTCAGAAAGTGGAAAGACAGTCTTTCAATCCACCATTTTTGGACTACATGACAATCTGCACAGAACAACTAAAGAAAGTTACACATGCAAATCATGTCTCAGTTTTAAATCATGTTACATATCAACCAATAATTAAAGCGTTAGCAAGAAATGCAAATGACAAAGAGGTGTCACACATGCAAAATAGCCTACGAAATACTGTAATCCCAAATAGGTCATTATAGACAGGCAATTCAAAGTTATTTCAAACTGCATTAAAAAAGCAACCCAATTTGGCAAAAGTGGCAACACAATTTCTGGCCTTAACTATGAAACATAAAATTCACAATTTATACACAAAATTATAAACAAGTATACTAGGAACAGCCTATATACAAAACTTGTAATCCTAAATAAAAAATTATAACATTAGACAAACTTGTGCATTAACATTTGCAATGTATTTAAAGAGATAATGAGATAAGAGCTAAATTCTTACATTTTTTTGAATTTTGTATATTGTATTGTATATTTTTGAACATACAATTTACAATCTAAAACATTTTTTCCAGAAATTAAATATACAATTCATAATATAAAATTGTAAACAATTTACAAGAAGCATCCTTCAAAACTTGTAATCCCAAATAAATAATTTTAAGAATAAATTTATAAACTTGTGGAAAATTTTGCATTAGATAGATAGATAGATAGTCAAACTATCATGTTTATAGTCCCTACATGGTCCAAATGCACAGTTCAAATGCTTTGTTGCAATTGTTTGTGATTTGTGACATATAAGTGAGTAAACTGCAACATCCAAAACACAGACGGTACAGTACAGACAGTATTTGCACCTAATATAGTCTTTGAGGGTATAAAATGTAATGATGGATCAATTGGGGCCACCTACTTTGATTTTAAAGCTTGGAAGATGTCAACCAAATCAGTCATCAACTCTGAAACTAGAATAACTGATTGCAAAGATGCCATGCAACATCAGTCTCCATCGGCATTAATACTATAACAAGAGCTCATGCCATCCATTAAGCTTATGCAATCCATTAGTATTAAGAAATCTCCGGATCAACACACTGTAATGAGCCCCTAATGAAAACAATCAATTACAGATGAGAAATTAAACCAGTCTAAACCACCCAGCGAATTCACTCGCACTTACATTAACTATATTGATTCACACTCGAGCCCATTTCTTCAAACTCATGTTCTCATTAACATACGAGCGAGATTGTAAATCCAGTCCAGCGTGACTCGATAAAATGAGGCGATTTCAGTTCGCTCGGACTCAAATCTCTGTTTGAGCAGGTGTGTCTGCCATTAACGTGAAAACACAGGGCACATGCTGGAACCTTCTCACGGTGTTTGTCGAAATAATTATTGTTCCTGTATCACATTATCCTCCTTTGTCTCAATTAATGGATCCATTTTGAGGGAAGCCAACCGCCCGCGGTGAGCGAACTTCCCGCCAAATCCACTTCGCGCCGCCTAAACAGACAAAATGTAATACAATTAAACATCTTAACTATAATGTAACTATTTTATTTCTTAAATCGATATATGTAGGGTGTATTTACAGCATAGCACGGTAGATAAACACTAATTTCCTCTCAGGATCTCCCCACAGGACCACCAGTCAGTTCGCACCTTGTTAACACCGCCATTAGATTTGCTTTACATTGGCTGATTGTTGATTTACATTTGCGACTAAATAGCAGCTCTTTACGGCTGTTGACCGAAGACTTTGCCAACATCATATAAAGCCCTGCCAATCTGGCCCTCATTCAGTCCAGCTCCAGCAACCAAAGAACATCTCTTGAGGATCAGTCAACATGTTGACCGCATTGATCTGGATCTCCATGATGGGACTCGCCATCTGCAGACCGTCTGTGAATCACCTGGAAAACGAGTCTGCAGAAGTGCGCTCGGAGGCCATCAAGAGGCTTTTGGAGGTGTTTGGGATGGAGGATCCTCCTGCTGCTTTGGTTCGGGGACACAAACAGCCTCCTCAGTACATGCTGGACCTGTATAACACCATCGCAGATGTGGACGGAGTCACCAAAGACCCAACGCTCCTGGAGGGAAACACCGTCCGCAGTTTCTTCGATAAATGTAAGATTCTGACTTCTTTATTGACTTGAAGTGGGACAGTGAACATAAAACAAATAGCCTATTTGGGATGGAAAAATGTTTGGCTGCATTTGTCTTCTTTTCGTAATAAATGTAAAAGTGTGAGTGTAAAAATACAGACTTATTCTCTCAGTAAAATTGTGACCCTCTCTGTGAAATCCAGTCTCAAAATCTAATTATGAGATAAAAAGCATCAAAGTTTGATTTCAACCATTATTTTTTTACTATGATTTAAATAGTTGACGTGGTCTAACTCAGTCAATAATAAAGTTATCAAGGTTACATTTTCACAGAATGTTATATGAAGAATGATTGTAGAAAACAGTAAATCACCCAAAAATGACTTTAGCTGGGTTTTCACAGTGAGGGTCACAATTGTTGCTGTTTTTTTTTTTGTTTTTTTTAATAGATTATTAAAGTTTTAGTAATTTTGCGTTTTGTCCTTTTTATTTGTTTTATTTCAGTTTTAGCTTTAGTTATTTTTGTATATCATTTTAAACATGAAAATGAGAAATGATGCTTTGGAAACTATTGCTAAAACAAGATAAGTTTTGTTTTTATATTTTATTTCAAGTAAGGTTTATTAACATGTTTTATAGCTTTAGTTTTTCAACTATAAACCTGCTTCATAAAGTGCATCCTATGACACTTTTTAATCTGTTTTGAAACATTTTGATGTTTTTCCTTTATTAACCCCATCTCATCAGTTTAAAAAGAATTTTAAGTAAAATAATATTTTTAGTGTTTGCAGTTTCATCAAGATTCAATATACAAAACTAATTTAAACAAGCCCGTTTTTAAATCCTGAGAAACTTGATACTCAATATTTTGATACTTTATTTTAATGGAATTAAAATATATGAATGAAAAATAAAAATGGAACTAAACCAATATGGAATTGCATATAGTTTATACTTACAATTTTAAGCTTAGTTGTATGTCTTAGTGTTCAGAATTCTGAGAAATCATGAGAAACATTGTCAACTAAAAATCAACATTTATATTTTATTTATGTTATGAAATATGGAATTGTTTGACCATAAGAGTGTACAATTAAAAGTGTAAGTGTATATTTTAGTGTTAAGTTTAGTGAAGCATGGACTTAAATATTCAAGATTGCAAGACTAAATGTGAGGTTTTGAGAATGGCTCATTAAGACCCATATTCATCAGCTGCTAATCTGAATATCGAGGTGGGGGATGGTGTGAAATATACATAAAGTATATGTGATTGTGTGTCAGTTCTCACTTCTGAATTCTGACTTCTGTCTTTAGTGCACAGCGACCAAATCGAGTTTCTCTTCAACATGTCCACGGTAGCTAAGAGCGAGAAGATCCTCACAGCCGAGCTTCATCTGTTCAAGCTCAGACCACAAGCGTCGCTCACGTTCAACAGACATCACTTCTGTCAGGTAGGCTACAGTATTTACAGTCTGAAATGATGCGCTTCTAAAAGAAGGTTCTTCAGGTTAATCATTGCAGTGATGTTTTTATGCAGGTCAGTGTCTATCAGGTTCTCGATAGCAGCAAGAAGAACGTCTCACAAGGGAAGAAGCTGCTCTCATCCAGACTGGTGCCCATCCACTCCAGCGGCTGGGAGGTTTTTACCATCACTCAAGCTGTAAGTATGAATAAAATCACACTTTCTGAGAGGTTTTCTATGACTATGTAGAGTCTTCCAAACTTTAGGTTGTATTTGAGCTAAAATGCTGCCTTAGAAGGGAGCTGATTAGGTTTTAGAACAGACCCAAAGAGTTGCTCGTGCAAAATCTCCTCAATAATAAATGTGTTTAATATCTCAAAGGTGCGCTCCTGGATGTCAGATGAGGGCAGTAATCTGGGGCTCCTGGTCTCGGTCAAGACTTTAGCAGGTCTTCAGATGGACCTGAAAACTGTGCTTTTCGCATCAGGCCGTAACCACCATCATAGCAAACAGCCCATGCTGGTCCTCTTCACCGACGACGGCAGACGGGCAGCTTCTCTGAAGATCACGCATAAAGGTATGTCTCTTTAATAGCTCAATTAGACTGATGTTTCTTCACTGTAATCTCAAATAAGCTCCAAGAGTGATTTAAACAAATACATCTTCTCTGTGGGATCTGATCTGGAAAAATTGAAAAAAAAAAAAAACGGTGTAAAAATTTAACAATAAAAAGACTATAAAAGAAAGTAGCTAAAATACATAGATATAGGGTTAAATAATAAAAAAAGGTGTTGTAAAAATATACAGTAAATAATTGAAAAAAAAAAATTAAATAAAAAAGTATTTAAAACATTTACTTATTACAATAGATCTAGCAGTACAGTATTATATATACTATAGAGAGTAGAAAAATATTGTAATATGTGACCCTGGACCACAAAACCAGTCACAATGGTAAATTTTCAGGTTAAAGCTGAATAAATAAGCTTTCCATTGATGTATGGTTTGTTATGATAGGACAATATTTGGCCGAAATACAGCTATTTGAAAATCTGGAATCTGAGGGTGCAAAAAAATCAGAATACTAAGAAAATCATCTTTAAAGTGGTCAAAATGAAGTTCTTAGCAATGCATATTACTAATCAAAAATTAAGTTTTGAGATATTTACGGTAGGAAATTTACAAAATATCTTCATGGAACATGATCTTTACTTAATATCCTAATGATTTTTGAAAAATCGATAATTTTGAACCATACAGTGTATTTTT